TCCCCCGTGCCAGGCGGGCGAGCGGGAGCGGGAGCGGCGGCGCGGGACAGCGGCCCCGGGGCTCCCCGACGTGGCGGGGACTAAGCCCTCTGCCAAAGGTCTTCGTACCCATTCTTTTCGTACCCATTTCGGTCGTCTCAACCGAAGAACCAACAAAGCCCCCCGCCCTAAGAAAGAACAACCCCGACGGGGCCACGCCGCGCACCGAGATCCCTGGGGCCCCCGATGACGGGCCCCCTGGCAAAGGCCAGGCTCAACAATTCCACTCCCGCGCACGCTGCGGCAAAATCTGGAGAAAGGCAAGCCTCGTGTTGGAAAGATACAAGGCACGACTGAGTAATAAGGGGCTGGGAAGATTCAGGGCACGACTGTGTAATAAGCACATTCACAAGACGACGACGACGACGACGACGACGACGACGACGACGACGACGACGACGACGACGACACGAGCAGAGGGGGGAACGAGCGACGGAACGACGAGCCGACGACGACGATGCCTCAGGGGCCGATATCTCGAGTAGGGGATCGGCTGCAGAGTTGATTTGCCCCAAACTTGTTTTTGCTCCGCCAGACATCCGTGTAATGCTTTTATAGTGACGTGCGTCTTGCTTGAACTTGTTTCGTAGATTCGACGAGAAGTTCAAATTGAGGTACATAAATTCTGTAGTCGATCCCGTACATGAACATCACGGGAAAACGCTGGGCTCTGCTTGAACTGCTAACAGAACAAACCTTGTACCCCCCCCCCCACACACAAACCAAAAAAAAAAAAAAAACTCGTCGGAGATCTAGGCCCCGAGCGGCTTCCGGCCTCCAGCCGCGGCAGAAACGCCTGGGCCAGAGATCGAATCGCAAAAACAACCAATCGAGTCGGATCGGAAACGGCTCGGGTCGCCAGCAAATCGTCCCGCATCGGATCGAAATCGGATCGGCGCGCCTGCCGGCGGCACGCGAGAGCGGCCCTGGGTAAGAGTGACGATTGGTGCGCGGCTTTTGGGAGGCAGCGGGGGGACCAAACACAAGCGCGCAAGCCGCTGCTACAGCTTCGCGTAGCGCTCGGGGGACCTTCCTCCTCCTCCTCCTCCTCCTCCTCCTCCTCCTCCTCCTCCTCCTCCTCCTCCTCCTCCTCCTCCTCCTCCTCCTCCTCCTCCTCCGTTGGGCCCGCACCAAAGGTCACCCGGGCGAAAAATCACTCTTGCGTGTAGTAGTCGACGCCTGGCCTGCAGCTGGCCCTGGCTGATGCTCGGGGGCGACGGTAGGGGCGAATAGCCAAGGAGCGGGCATTACACGCATTCGCCCGGAGGAGGAGGAGGAGGAGGAGAAGGAGGAGGAGGAGGAGGAGGGATCCTCGCCGAAGGCATCGACCATCGGCGTTCCTGGATACATGAATTGTTCTCCCCTTGGCTATTCGCCCCATCGTCGCCCCCGAAATGCGAGTGGACTGAGCAGAATCGCATCGAATCCGATACGCGGCCCCAGTCAGCGACTCGAATCGCATCGAATCGCATCGTGGGTGGCCCTGCGTGGCCGTGGGGCGCGCCCACCTCCGCAGGGCCAACGGCCCCTCCCCCCCTCCAGAAAAAGCTCCGCACGGTTCCCCGCCGCCCCGGGGGCCCCGAGTTTCCAATGCCGCGGGGGACAAACAATTCTCCTGGCGAAGGGCCCGACGCCCAGCCACATGCAGTCATAGGTGCCGCAGTTCTTAGAATCGTCGTCGGTGGAGCTCCCTGTGGGGCCACCAACGTGCGAGGGATGTGCCGAAACGGGCGGCGAACCCCATGCGAGGACGGCCACTGGGGCCTCACGTGGGGCTCCCTATGGGACCACGAAGTGGCTCATGTGTCCCAGGGTGGTTCTGGCCAGCAGGAAGGAGGGGGCAAGGGACCCCCTTGTCGCCACGGCTGGACGCAGCACGAAAAACTCTTCATTTGTTCGCACCGGGGAAGGGTCTGGAGGCTGAATTGGAGCGAAAGTGCCCCCATCCCCCTCTCTTCAACGATTTTCACCAGGCTTATCCAGCTCCGACCAACTGGCCGCCTCCAAGAGCCATTTGCGACAACCCCTGGGCCCAGGAACACGTGAAGAGTCCTGATAATACAGTCAACCAGTGCAGTATGGATGCGCGAGAAGGATGCAAGGGCATTGGACGCCCATTTCGAAGCTTTCCGAGCGGGGCGCGGCCAGCGAAAGCGGCGAAGGATGGACCGAGGAGGCAAGGATGCAAGGGTACTCTTGGGAAGGTTGCCCATCCTTACTATGCGGGTTGACTGTAATATGCAGGATCGGGAAAGGGATCGCATCGAAATGCAAGTCGGATCGGGTTGCATCGGCACGGACTCGAAATCGGACCAGATCGGCTGCGCCAGGATGCACAACAGCGCCAGCCGAGCATCGGGCCGCACCGGATCCTTGGAACACCGCAATCAAATCGGACAGGAGCCGCCCGAGAAATCGATGTCGCACCGGACCCATCGGATCGAACTGGACCCTGTAGTGTCCAGCGCCCCTCAAACCAAGACTCTGCAAAACAGGACTTTGGAAATTCCATCTGGAACGAACACAACATGGAAAGCGCCTCGACTCACGGCTGCAGTTATCTCGGGCGCGACAGACGTCCTGGCTTCTCAGAGTCCTGGACCCCCAAAAGTCGAGACCCCTTCCCACGGACCAGCTTTGCATCCCGAGTCATTGTTTGACGGCCCAAGGGCCCAGCGATGGCCGCAGGGGGCCGAAAACGGCGGAGACCCCCCGCACCGTGCACTTCTGAATGCCCTTGCGAGGTCTGGGCCCTTCGGTGTGAGAGAACTGCGGCGCCCGGATCTCCGGGCCCGCCAGCCAGGCGCGCACGAGATCCAACCGCGCAACGGGACCGGCTCGGGAACGGCTCGGACCGCCAACGAACCGTGCCTTGAAATCCTGGCTCCAATTTGTTCGAGCCAGGCGCTTTCGCCTTTTCTTCGAGCCCTGGGGTCCTCACAGATCGATCCGGCTCGAAAAATGACGCAAGAAGCTGGTGTCTAAAGCTCCGGACGTGATTTTCTACGACGCTGCAACTTTTTCGCTACGTCGGCTCTCAGGGTATCGACACCAGATCGCCGCGCCAGGCTCCCGCCGGCCCCTACCGGCGGGGGCAAATCGAGCCGGACCGAATCGAATCGGAAACGCGGGCCCGGTCCGCGAATCGAGCCGCGCATCGCATCGAGTCGGAGCGCGCGCGCGCGAGCGCGAGCGCGCGGGCGCCCTCCGCCGCATCGCACGCACGGCCTCCGTGCCGGCGGGCCTCTCTCGAAGGCGGTGCGCGCGCGCGCGCGCGAGTTCGCGCCCGGCATTGGCCGCGCCCCCGGGGCGCCCGCCGCAGGGGGTGGGCCGCGCGCGTGGCCGCCCACCGCCACCTGGCCACGGAGGAAGGCGGTGCGTCGGGGCCACGCTCGGGCTCGGAGGGGGGAAGGGGAGGGCGGGCCAGCAAGGGGAGGGGGCAGAAGGGGGGCGTCCAGGCAGAAGGGGAAGGGCCAGGGCAGGGGCTGGGGAGGGGGAGGAGGGAGGACGGGGAGGGAGGGAGGAGAGAAGAGAGAAGAGGGACGTGGCCAAGAGGGTGACTGGGAAGGGACGATGGGGGGGGGGAAGGAGGGGAGGAGGACGGGGAGTCGGCTGGCTTCGGCTGACAATGCGTCACGGTGTCGTGGAAGCAGCAAGGCCCCTCCCTCAGATCTCAAGAACCCACAGGGAGCCCCCCCCTCTCGGCGGCAAACGGGGCCGCGCCGGCGAGCCGAAGCTGCTGGAACATGGCTCAGTCCTTAACCGAGGGCCCTCTCGAGGTCGAGTCCCGCACCAGCACCTCGACGCAGGAGATGCGGCACGACGACTCGCATGCGAGACAGTACACGATGTCGCTGCCATCGGCGATGCCGCCGACGCAGACCTCGCAATCGCTCGGCCCGCCCACCTCGATCCCCACCGCGCGCACGTCCAGGCGCGGCCCATAGGCGCAATCAGGGCACCGCCTCAAGGCGAGCGCCTGCCGCGCCTCCAACAAATAGGACCCGATGGAGGCGGCGTCCTTCTGCAACACCTTCGCGTCATCGTTGAGGCCCTCACCAACAGGGCCTTCAACATCCTCGTCAGGACAATGCGCCTCCTCGATCGGCAACTTCTCAAACTCCACCTACATCACCTCTTCGTCCTCCGACACAGCAGCACACACAGCGCCAGAGGGAGAGGGGGCAGGGGCCTCGCAAACGGCACCGCGCTCATGATCGGGAGCATCACCCCATGCTGATCAGCAGCGTCCACCAGAAGGACAAGAGGAGCGTCATCAACGCACCACCAAACACAAGGAACGAATACCGCGGCTTCAGCCCGCAGCCGACAAGGGGTCCGGATCTTGACGGCACTCGTTCCGAAGGCCCGTCCGCTGCTCTTTCAACGTGTGAGCGGATGCCGCTGCGTCGCGGAACCCACGCGCATCAGCATGGCAGGCCACATTACGGCGAGGAACTTCCTCGGGCAACGGCCTGCAGCCCTGCAGCTTGGCCGCCAAGTGCGGCACCATGGCCAGCACGCCATCCGCGAGCGAGCTCGACGACCCGAAGAGGAGCTGGACTCTGGCGAGGACGGCGTCTAAGTCGCCCTTGACCCGCTCCAGCTCGCCACTCAACTTGACAAGTGTGCACGATCAGCACACAGCCTGGCACAGTCCCGCCGAGCCTTGCGGTCGGCAGCAGTTGGGCGCCCGAGGCCTCGTCCCCCATCGACTCGCACGACGAGCCGTCCCGCAGCCACCCAGGGCGTACCCGTTGCCACCGCGGCCGAGCCGCTGGACATGAGCGAAGAGGCTGCGGAGAAAGCGGGGCACACCTCTGCAGAGACCAGTGCCGAAATGGCTACAGAAAAGGAGGACGGGTAGGAGGAGGAGCAGGAGGACAACGAGGAGGAGGAGGAGGAGGAGAAGGAGCAGGAGGAGGAGAAGGAGGAAGAGGAGGCAGGAGAAGGAGGAGGAAGAGAAGAAGGATGTCTTGACGCACGGCAAGCAACTCTGGTTTGCGCCACGCGACCAGAGGACACTCGCTCAGTTCCACGTCTCGGCGATGTGGTTGCGGCCATCGTAGTTGTTGTGCGTGGGTTTGATTGCCTCCTTCTTGCTGACCTCCCCGACCCTCGCGTTGGTGCGCCACGGCGCCAGCTTCTGACCGCTCCACGCGCGGCCCGCCTCCCGGCTCCGCTCGCGCCAGTGGTCCTCGCACTTCCCGCCCAGCGCGTCGCACAGCTGGGCGGAGAAGTCGAACCTCAGGGACTGACGCCCGGTGCACTCCCCGTAGGTCTTGGCCCAGATGCCCTCGGCGTTGTAAGCGTGGGCCACGGTGTCCGTGAGGGTCATAGTGGGCGTCGACAGGCACTGCGTCTCGTGGTGCCATCGCGGAGGGTAGTAAAGGATCTCCCCGGGCTTCAGGATATCCTCGAAGCACACGTGGGTGCCGTTCAGCAGGCTGCCGCAGACATACCACCACTTGTCACCCATCACGTGGGCGTGCCAGGAGGACGTGTGTAGCGAGTCCGAGTGGTTAAACATCCCCGCACCCCGCGACCCCACCAGTATAATCTTCCAGTGCGTCTTGAGGTTCCATTCCTCCTGGATCTCCTCGCTCATGCAATTCATCTGCCACTCGTCGTTTCTTAAGAAGGTGTGCCTGTCCGCAGGGAAGTGGCGCTTCTCCTCCAGCGCAGCCCACATCTTGGGTGTCAGCTGCAGGTGCATGTAGCGGCCGGCCTCCAGGCCCTTATCGTTCACTGGGTCGAAGCGGGACTGCCTCTCCGACGCGGTCAGCTCGAAGATGCCAACCGGAAGGCGCGACAGATAGGGGCTCTGGCGCTTCCTGGAGAGCATGTTGTACGGGTAGAAGTCGGTCACCGCCCTGGGGAACACCGCCTGGAGCTCTTGCCGCCAAGTCTTGTTCCATGTCTCCAGCATCCTCCAGCCCTTCATGCCGTCTCTGAGGACGAACGGGGCCCCGAGCACTGCCCTCTGCTTCCGGGGCTCGGCGCTGGCCTTGTCCAGGTCGGCGACGCTTCTCCTCTTGAACCTCCTGGCCCGAGGCAGCCTGGGCCTCTGGTGGACTAAGCGCGGGCGTGTCACGGCTTCCTCTTGCGGGGGTCTACCATGAGAATCCTTCGGCGGCGGGCCCGGGTGGAGAGTGAGAAGGAGAAGGCCTTCTCAGAAGGCTCGGAAGTCTCCTGGCCTTTTGAGAAACATTATGAACCTTCCCCGAGGACACAGGAAACTTCTCAGAAGGCGCGAGGGCTTCTGAGGAGTACCGCCGCCTTCGCCTTCTGAGAAGGCCGTCTCCATCTCACTTCCCCCCCTCGGTCGCAGCCGAATCCTCGCTTGTCTTTGAGACTGCGGAGCCCATGCCGCTGTGCCGGCGCCGGTACGACAGTGCAGAGTGCACTTCCTCCCCGCGCCTGTGGGCCATGTGCTGCTCCAGCACGTCCAGATTGCCGCTCACGTGGTCCAACGCTTTCTGCGAGTCCGCGAGGGAGTGCGCTTTGAGCACGTTCCCGCGGTCGGCTGGCCAGTCTGAGGGCCAGGGGGGGCAGGAGCACGCAAGAGGAGCCTCCGGAGGCCAGATGTCTCCACGAACTGGTGACCCGTGTCGTCTATGTTGCCTGTCGGATTGCCAATGCTGTCTTCGCTCGGCCACTGAGAAGAGTCTGCCGAACTTGAATGTTTGTTGGCCCCTGGGTGTCTGTTTAGTTGGCTCCTGCCCCTCGGGGCATCCACATGTGAACCCTACCCGTGCAAGCCAGATTTCTGGAACGTGGGCTAACCCCAGCGGGGGTCTCCAGCACCCAAGCGTCGGTTGGACCCGCAGGGGTAGGGTTTGTCATCCTTCGCCAGACCTCTGGCCCTCAAGTTGGCCCACCAGCCGCGGACATAGCCTCTTCGGCCTCGGCCAGCCGGCTGCGCCTCATCATGCACACCCCGAGGTCCGTCAGCGTGGTCCAGGACGGCGAGAAGCGGGCGGCGCTCTGGAAGGCCCGCTCCGCGTCGGCCTTGCGGCCCTGCTGCTCGAAGCGGATCGCAGCGCCCCGGTGATCCAGCGAGGGGTCCTCGAAATCGTGCACCTGCGGCGGCGCGGAGAACTGCCCTTGCTGGTCCTGCTGAGCATCGTTTTGCCGGTTCCCACCCCCGCTGGCGCAGCCTCGGCCCCACCGGCCGACGTGCCCACCTGGGCGGGGACATCACGCCTGTTCCTTCGGGCTTCCTGGGTCACCTGACTTCGCGTCTCGCGCCCCACGATGCGCGACGCGCGATCCTCTTCGCGCCCTCGCACCTCCGCGCCCTCGCGCCGCTCCCCCTGGAGACGGGCGGCCGCTCCCGCCCAGACCGCGGCGCGCCGAGGCGCGGTCGTCGTCGCGCCTTCGGGGGGTGGCCCGGGGCTTCGCGCGGCCTGCCTCCACCTGGGAGGGCGGGCTGCTTGGGCTGAGATGCCACAGGCCAGCGGGGATGGGATGGTGCTGTTTTTGACGATCTCCGCGCAACGGTCGTTACGGCAGAGTCGTGTCGTGCCGACTTCGGCGCTGGTTCCTGATGCCGCGGGGATCGTTCCACCTTGAACGATCGTCCGTTTCCGATACGCCAGATCATACGACATCGAAGGATTCTTTGTCGCCGGCGGCGTTCAACGTTGAGCGCCGACGGCGGGGTCGCCGCCGGTCGTCACGACGCGAACATACCGCACGCAAGGGGTGGTGTGCGAGGCGGGGATTTATCCATACCCGCCGCCTGGGAACCGACGTCCTGGTGCCCCAGCGGGCGGTGGATATGGATACATTTCGGCCCCCGGGGGCCCGAAAATATCCATATCCACCGCCTGCCGAGGCTCCGAAAACTGACCCTCCAGGCGGTGGATATGGATAAATTCCCCCCTCGGATGGTGCGGTCGGAGCCCCGGGCCCCAGGCAGCGGTAACGCATGGGCGAGGTGGTGCGAGCACCGGCAGAGCGCCTGCGAGCACTGGCAGGCTCCCCTCCCCCGCGAAGAGCGCAAGGTCGTTACCTTCTCTCGGGGGGGGCAGGTAACGACCGTTGCGCGCCAGAGGGCATACGCCACAAACCTGTATAAATTCATTTATATAAATATATATGTATATATAGATATATCTATAAATATACACAAATCTATATACACACATAGAGATACACAACATACATAGAGATGTGTACACATAAAGTTATATATATATATATATATATATATATATACATATATATATATATACACATATATGTATACACAAGCACTTGCTGGTCGGCGGCTAGGCAGAGCAACTGCGCTGGCGGAGAGCTAACTGAACGGGGTGCCACAAGGCAAGGACAAGGGGACAGGACAGAAGAAACGGCCGAAAGAGGAGAGAAGAGAAGCGAGGCCGCTCAGGGGGACGGGTCACGCCGGGAACGCGTGCCGCGGCCGGCCCCGCCGGTGCACCAAGGGGCCGGCGGCGGCGGCGGGGCACAGTGCGGTTACTGGAAGCAGCCCAGTGGGACAAGGGTGCGAAATGGTCAGTGCGGAGCCAACACACTCAGCACGTCCCCCAGGGCGGGACACACACACACACACACAAACACCCGCCGACGAGTATTCCCTCTGCCTTCAAGGGAGGGTGGCGATGTATAATATTGCTGGCCCGCAGTGGTGATTTATACACCGCCATCCTCCCCAGCAGGGGAAGAATCCATTGGAGGGCGCCTGTGTATATGGCCGATTCCAGGAGCCCTGGGCGCATCTTTCACTTCCGCCGCCTTCCGCAACCCTTCCGCCGGCTTCCGCCAGCGAAGGCGGCCTCGCTTTACTTCCGCCGACCCTTCGCCGCCCTTCCGCCGCCCTTCCGACGCGGAAGAGACGACATCTCCTTCGATCCTCGCAGGCGAGGCCCGTTTTTGCAACGCCCATACTGTGTGGCGGAGGACAAGAGGAAACCTTCCCCAGCAGGAGAACAATCCACTGGAGGACGCCTGTGTATATACTGCTGTGATAAGAGGGCAGGTAAGAGGAGGAGGAGGAGGAGGAGGAGGAGGAGGAGGAGGAGAAGGAGGAGCAGAAGCAGGATGAGCGGCAGGAGGAGGAGGAGGAGGAGGATAAGGAGAAGGAGGAGAAGGAGGAGGAGGAGGAGGACGGAGGAGGAGGGAGGAGAAGGAAGAGGAGAAGAGGAGGAGCAGGAGGAGGAGGAGCAGGAGTAGGAGAAGAGGAGGAGGAGGAGGAGGAGGAGGAGGGAGGAGGAAACCGTCTCTGGGGACAGGTCGGACGAGGCTGGCCTGCGAGCCCGCGCCCGCGGGCAGCGGCAGCAGCGGCAGCGCCAGCGCCAGGCAGAGCCGCAGCGCCGCCGGCATCCCTCCCGTGGGCGCGCCCCCAGCGCTGCCGCTGGGGGGGGCAAGGACTCCTGGAAAGTTTCGGAGTTCCTCTTTCTCCTCCTGCTCCTCCTCCTCCTCCTCCTCCTCCCTCCTCCTCCTCCTCCTCCTCCTCCTCCTCCTCCTCCTCCTCCTCCTGCTGCTGCTGCTCTTTCTCGATCAGAAGGATAAATATCAGCCAGCGCAGAATCCGAATAGATCCGAAGACTGAAACGAAGTGGACTGGAGTAGACTGGACTGGAGTAGACTGGACTGGACTGGACTCTACTCCACTCTACTCTACTCTACTCTGTCCTGCCCGGCTCTACTCTATCCTCTACCCTACTCTACTGCGGCTGGCCGACCAGAGCCTCATCTCGGCCCCTCCAGCCTTCGTGCGAAAGAACACCACAAAGTCGACGATGGTCGACTCAGTCGAAAGATTCTGCCGTCCTTGTTGCAAAAGGCGTGGCAGGAATGCGACGGGGCGCACATTCCGCGCGAAAGGCCGAAATGTCGCGCTCGCCTCGGCGCCGCGCTCACTGTTCCAGACAATCGGGCTTCTGCTGGGGCGCGGCGCACCTTTTTCGCAGGCCACGTCGTCAGAGCGCGAGCGGGCGGAAATGTAACTCTCGCCTCGGTTCCGCGCACACGGTGGGGGCATTGATAAGGAAACCTTCGATAAGGAATCCAGGGTCTGGAAGCCAGTGGAACTCCAACCGTGGATTGGCCATGGATATCACCGCCGCCCTCATCAGATAAGGAATCCTCCAGGGTCTGAAGCCTCCTGGGCACGCTCCTGAACGAACGCCCCCACCGTACCTGTTACTCGCCCACCTGGGAGGCCTGCGCGGCTGGGGTGACGCGTCGCCGCCGCCCAGGCTCCGTGCGCAGTTCGCCTCGGAAGCGGTGCCCCGCCCGGGCGCGACGCACGGCTCGTTCGCCGAATCTCCCGGGAAAGCGACAGCGGCGGCGGGGCCGCGCGAGAGAGGGCGAAATGCCGACCTCGTCATAGCGCCGCCCAGCCTGCCAGCGGAAGCGGAACGTGCTGTGCTCGGCGCGGCACACGCGTCGTCTTCGCCGCTCCCACCGGAGGTGCTGCCGCTTCCGCCCTTGCGCGGCCCGCGTAGCTGTCCCTTCGCCAAGTCGTCGGAAGCGGGGCCGCGCGCGAGCGCCTCTCGTTTGCGAGGTGGGAACGCACTCCAATCCCGATATCAAGTTGTGCCACACTTGATTGGTATGTTGTGGGAGGGACGGTGGGAATAGGCGGGGCCCTCTGACGCGCTCGGCCTGACTGACTTGGCTCTGCTCTACTCCAGATCTATGGAACGCTACTCCTACTCTACTCGACTCTACTCTTACACTAGATTCTGCTCTACTCTACTCTAGTCAACTCAGTGTTGATATACTCGACTCGCTTACTCGTCTCTACTCTATTATGCTCTAATCTACTCGGTTGTACCCGACCCAACTTCACCAGTTACCCATACTCTACTATACTCGGCTCTACTCGACCCTACTCTACTCTACCCTACCTACCCTGACCGACCCTACCCTAACCCACTCTACCCTACCCTAATATACTATGTTATGATCGACTCTGCTCGACTCCTGCTCTACTCCACGCTACTCTACTCGATGCTACGCTATATGATATCCGACTCTACTCTACCATCTACTCTACCCTACTCTGCTCGATTCGACGCTACCATACACTACCCTACCCTACCATACCCTTCTCTACTCTGCTATACTCATACTCCTGCTCCTACTCATATCCTTATTCCTTATTAGAATATACTCCTACTCCCCCCTCAGGCCGGCAGATAGCGGGCGCATCCGGGTGGTCCCATCCTAACCTGTAAAAAACAATACAAAATCAACATTTTTCTTATTTTTTCCTCTCGACATGGACGTCCTGTCGTCCACGGCGATAATCCATTGCAAAAAATACCACAAAGAGCACACGCGCGCGTTCATGTCAGAATCCTACCGAACACCGTGTGTTTGCAAGCATTTCAACATAAAAACATCAAAAACCCAATGCTTCTTCACAAAAATTGTACAAATTTCCCGCCCGGGCTCTCTTGCTGAAATCATAGGAAAACCATAGGAATCTTAAGAATTCGGTCAAATCCAGCGATTTCACGTCATCGCGCGGTGCACTCGCGATGCTCTGTCATGCACCCAGGCCGCGAATCCTGTGCAAAAAATACCACAAAGAGCACACTCGCGCGTTCATGTCAGAATCCTACCGAACACCGTGTGTTTGCAAGCATTTCAACATAAAAACATCAAAAACCCAATGCTTTTTCACAAAAATGCTTTGGGGTGTCCTGTCAGACCGTCGGGCTTCCTCCGGCCACCTCTGGCTTCCTGCGGTGTACCGGGCCATTCTCGACTCGTCTGGCAATGCGTGCGCGGCATTCAACACGCGCTCGCCAGTTCCCGTCGGCAACCGCCATCGCGGCCGCATCAGCTGTACCAAACCGGCTGGCCGGTGTGACTTCGGCCCCCAGTTGTGCCAGCTTTGCTTCTTATGTTGTGGGAGGGCGGGTGGGACTGGGCATGCCATGCTTGACTCGCTCGAGCTGGCTAGCTTGACTCCTACTCCTACTCCTACTCCTACTCTTACTCCTACTCCTACTCTATCGACTCTACTCTACTCTACCCCAAACTTTATCTGCTTCCCTCTGCTCTAATAGATTCGACTCGACTCGACTCATCTACTTTTCTCTCCTTCATTCTGCCCTACTCTACTCCTGAGTTTGACGACTGTCGGACGATTGTTGGGATTGCCACCAGCTTGGGCAAAACAGGGGCAACCAGCGGACCAGTTCTCCAGGGAGGGAGCTCAGGACTTCTCCGGGCAGGCCTGCGGCAGGCTCAAGTCGCGATGACATCGTCGTCGGTTCCTGACTTCGCGTGGACTGTTGTGAGGCTTGAATTGAGCAGGGACCGACCGTCCCGGCATTCCTATAGTCCTGCCACGAAATGTTCTTGGAACCCACAAATGTTCTAAGAACAAAAACAATGTTCTTAGAACATACGCCCGGTGCGTCAAAACAAGACAGTCCCAGCCAGAAATGTTCTAAGAACATTTCGTGCAAACCACGAAAGATCATTAGAACACGGTTTGGTAAGCCTACGCCTCGCCACTGCTTGACGTTGAGGCTTGAACGACAATGGCCTTCCGATGCCGCAGAGCGCTCGAT